CCCACTGTCCTCAGGAAGAAGCAATTACACTTCCTGTTGGGACTCAGCTGGATATTTTGAGTGTACCCATATCTATTTGTGTCACTTGTCATTTCTTTTTTCACTTCTAATTAATATGCAATTTACAAATAATAATGTGTGCATTGTTTAGTACATGGCTCTAAAAGTGTAGTCCAATGCACATCCATGTTACCACTACCCTGATCCCCTGTAATAAATTTTTCTCAAGTTTATTTGTGATCACGCCCATCTCCCAGCCTTGGCACCTAGCAAGCACTAAGCTCTCAGCTCTTTTTGTCCATATAATTTTAGATTTGCAGTAACTTTTTATAACTAGAATCTCAGAATATGTCTTTTGTTCTGGCATCTTGAATTTAGAAAAAAAATTCATTTGAGATTTATTTTCATTGATACCTGTATCCGTGTGATATCTTTTTATTGTGAAGTTATATTCTATCACATGCACTTTATATCTTCTGTTTTCATTTTTCTGTTAATGAATATTTGTGTCCTTTCCGCTGTTTGGTGATTTCAAATAAAACTGACTTTATATTTCCCTAAAGACATTTTTGTGAGCATATGTAATACCAAGAAACACTTTCTAACTCATTCTGTGAAGCCAGCATTACCACCATTAAGAAAACATCCAAAAATTGCACTGAGTAACCTCAAAATCGTAACCTGTTAGCAAGTTGTTTTATGTACTTTTCTTTATTTGCTACTTAAAAGTAAAATTCTGTGGACTATGTGGGAGACGACATTTTATAATCTTTATTTTACACAAGAAGGAGGAAGAAAAGACAGACAAAAACATCAAGAAAGGAAACCAGACTACTATCCCCTCTTGAATATTACCTATAGCAAAAGTAATAAAATGCTAACAAACCAGATCTATAAGCATATTAACCTGATTATAAGCTATTACCATAGAGGACTTATTCCAGGATTGGAAAGAGGTTTCAATATATGAAAATCAATCAATATAAAAAATCAAATTAATATAATGAAGAGAAAAATCCCATGAGCATCTTATTAATCCAGAATAAGTATTTACCAATATTTTGCATTCTTTCATGGTAAAAGCACTCAGAAAACTAGAAATGAAATGAACTGCCACAAGCTATAAAGAATATTTATAAAGAATACTTATAAAGCTGATGTTATATTCAAATGTGAAAAGCTGAGAAAATTCTACATAAGATTGGATACAAAGCAAATATTCCTGTTTTTACCCCTTCTATTAAAAACTGTACTACTAGTTCTATCCAGAGTGATAGGTCAAGAAAAAATAGGTAAAAGGCATCTAATTGGAAAGAGATAAAATTAAAGCTATTTTTAGGTGATATAATCTTATATAAAAAACTATTAAAGAATGCACAAAAGTTTATTAGTTGTTAAATTTATTCATAAATATTGCAGTGTTCAAGACTCACAAATAAAAATCAGTTGTTTCTAAGTATTGGAACTAATTCAAATTCCCCAATTCAACAAGGAAATAATTCCATTTGCAGCAGCAAATGAATTAAATTCACTTAAAGAAGACATTTAAAGGTGTCTTACTCCAAACAATAATCTAGTCAGCCTGCTCAAAGGACACTCAAATAAACTCACCAATAACTAGAAGGTTTTTTTTCTCATAAAATAACTTATTGTATTCTTTAATG